CGTGGCATGGGTGAAATATGTTATGAAATCACATGTTCTACAAACATCAGTAATGCATGATAGTTTGACTTATATTACCCACACGACTAACATATTTCATAGGGAAAGAAAGAGAGAAAAGTTTAAGAACAAAGAACAAAATGGGGTATAGAGGGCCTTCTCATTATTTTTAATTTTGACGAAAAAAAAAAAATCAGTTCTTATTTATTGTCTTATTGTTGACAATATGATCTATCGAGAAACAATTTCAGAATTTTGGAGATTAAAGTTCAATTCTAAGAAAACCTCCAAAGGCTGTTTTGAGTCTTCTCTCATCTTGTGTTCAACTTGAGCAAGATTAAAATTTTCTTGATATCTCAAAAGGAATTAATCCTTATATTCGAGTCTATTATACTCTTGAAATTAAGGACATATTTAGATTATCAGAACAAGAAACTTTACTTCGTGTTATCTTTTCACATTCACCTCTACGTGTATTCTAAGTGCATCTTTGATCTGATTGGGATTGATTTCGACAATGTAGACGAAGTCACAATCTCTAGCATATTTACTTCAAAATTTCAAGCAGAATGTGGCAATGAAGGATTTAATTTGTAGCCACACAAAGAATGGGACCCTATCTGTCATATGTTGTTTGGTTAAAAACAACCAGTTATCAGTAAATGCGAGATATTGATTTCACAAGAATAGCTCAAGAAATGGTTCGTTTGTACTTGTAGATGGCAACAGAGATGCCTCAGCAAGAATCTGGATATATAGCAGTCTAAAACTATACTATAGCCGGAATAAGAATCAGGGCCGTCTCCTTCAATTCAAATCCTTTCAATAATTGGCCTTCCAAAGTTGGTCCCAAAAATAATTTCAGTAAGAATCGCCAGTATTTTTCAACATAACCATTTTGCGAATAGAGGCTCAAGAAGACGTCGAACTCAATCTAAAACATAGTGCAAATGTGTTAACAGCAAGAAATGAACAAAACAATTCCAAAAGTCTTGCACATATTGCAGAAAACTATCTTCAAAACTCAAAAAAAGGGGAAAAAAACAACTGATTTTATGTCTGCCTGACCACAAAGAATGAGTTTTTCACAGCAGGCTATCAGTTCTTGCAGGCAATCTCCTCAAGAAACTTATAGGATAGCAGGGAAGCCGGTCGCGAAACCTAGGATGCCTCATTGCGTAAAACCCGATGATGATAACCACAGCTTTGGGAGGTGTCACATACAGTACGATAGAAGCAATCAAACAGAAGATAAGAAACAGAGCCGTTGCTCTTGGATCTCTCCAGCTTAGTAGATTATAAAACCTCTCTCCCTGAGTAGCCAAGTCCCCAGCAACAGTTTGAACCCTTGAGGCAACAACTCTTAGCCTGTCGTATCTCATTTTTACAACTTCGTTGTTCTTTTGAGATGTTGGGAAAGTATCGAACTCTTCATCTAGTTCATCGTTGTGTGCTGTATCGGCTTGAGATAACCTAATGTCCATGTGAGGAGGATGTCTAGGCCTCCCTCGGTAATTCCATGTTCCAATCAAGAAAATGTATATAAATATAGTGCTTAAAATCATCCATGGAAAACAAACCAATGTCAGGAAGAAGATGTGAACAAGGATTGTAATGAACGGGTTCTTCCAAGTGCAAACCTGATCAAACCATTTGCAAAATGCTATGAAGCCAGATAGGATCCCAGAAATTCTATAATGATTGGCTTTGCTTCTTCTTATGCTCCACATGTTCGAGCCCACATCAAGCATATACTCCACTGCCTCTTTCCTCAATGGCGGCTCTGCACGGCTTAGCCTCATGGAGACAATTTGAGTGGCCTGATACCTCAAACTATCAATCTGGTGACAAGTGAGAGGGTGAAGGTAATGAAGGTTTGGCAACATTGGCCGCGAGTACATTTGTAGCAAGTCGAACAACGAACAACAAGAAAACCTCACAGCCAATTGAATTTCACCCATCTTTTTCATGCCACAAGGCGACAACACTATAAGAGGGTACAAGTGAGTGTAAACGCGATCAGTCTCGAGTGTAGAGAGCCGAATCCTTACCTTTCCAATTCTTGAATCATTTACTCCTCCATTTTGTCCTTGTAAATGACAATTGTCAAACACACCAATTGTAATAACAGTACATGGATCAAAAACCTCCCACGTGTACTGCTCATTCCACATTGGATTAAAACTATTGAGAATTGTCCTTGTCCTAATCCATTTTGGGCCATACTTAGCCACACAATAAGCATCTGTCATTCCTTGGCCATCCTTAGTCTTCATGGACGACAGATTTTTGGCATTTAAAATTCCCAATTCGAGCACCCCAATGGGAGGCTTCCATAGTTGCTTAGCTGTTGGCCTAAGATCACTAATGTAGTGTGTTAACTCGTCAAGAACGTGGTATCCGCCATCCAAAGTGATTCTCAAGTGAATCCTGCTATTTAACTTGGTCACATTACTCTTCCCATCCCCAGAAACTGTATGCTTGTCTAGATTATACCACCTACCAAGAGGAGGCCTGAAATTCAACCTCTTCTCTACACCTTGTAAAGGAATCATGCACTTGCCTAAAGATTCATCCTTATTAGGATCAATTTTAGCCTCCACACTCACCACCAACTGTTCCTCGAATGGCTCTGCAACGGCAAACATTAAATCCTCATTCCATAATGGACAAACATTCCGGCTTTGAGAAATTTTAGTCCTCAACATCATATTCCCAATACATGCCTTCACAAAAATCTCTGGCTGCTGCTTATTCTTGTCACAAAGTTGCAATTCTTGAGCTTCGATCACATTAACTCTAAGATACCATAGTCTAGGTGACAAATACACCTTGGACTTGATACTCGTGACACCATCACCGCTAATGGCCGATGCATCCAATTGCCACGCCTCTGGGAATGCCTCATCCGCTTGTGTCCCCAACCAAACAGCTAGCATCAATTCTCCAGTTACCCTTTCACGTTTTGCATTCTCCAGCCTATACCATTGTGGGGCCAAAGGACTATCGGGTGGAACCCTTTTCGGAACATCAGTGATATCAACTACAAGCATTCCAACCAAATCATCACCACTTCTATCTTTATCCTTCACCAATATCTCAATAAGAGGAACCTGAATGCGACCTGTCAAGATCGAAAAAACTTGATTCCACTCTGGATTAGACACATTAGTAAAATGCTTAGTAACAGATTTAAACCCTCCAAGTTTTACTTCGACAAAAGGGCTCGGGCCGCCATTCCCATCCTTTGCAGGCACCTCCTTGGCCTTCACCACTCTCACATACAGATAGTGCATTTCCTCCACCAGGTCGAAGGCCGTCCCGGCACGGTCATTGCCGGAGACCCTTCCACCGCCGAGGGCCGGCGAGGTCTCCCTCAAGTTGAAATCTTCTTCAGGGTTTGGATTTCGGTTAGCATTCGGGTTCTGATTTTGGCTCCTGTTTTGATTCTGATTACTGTTCTGGTTTGCCATTTTGCCAAAACCTGCAATATCGTGTGTAGAAAAAATTGAAGTGTTCAACGATCAAGAAAACTCTTGATATGTGTTTGATTTTCAAAATCAAATAAAATCAATCAAAATCAAATCGAAAAAAATTCAAGAGCGCCTAAAAAATGGGAACTGATATAAAGACTTGAAAACAGAGCCGTTACAGAATCAAGAGAATGTAAATAGACATGGGTTTGAATATTTCCTAAAATTTTGGTAACGGGAACATAATGCCAGCGGATTAACGGCTCTGCATTGATTTTTCGGAGAAAACCACATTTGGAAAAAAACAAGTAAACACTCGATGAAGAGGGAACGCCCTATACTTGTGTAACCGCTTCTTGATTTTTTAATGATTAAACACAAAATGGGCAAAGAAAATAGTATTAGATAAGAACTCAAAACACTAAAATGAATACATATATAAGCTTGTATATGCATTCTGCGTACTTACAGAACACTGCAGTTAGTGGGACTTAGCAGCTCGCGCAGGTAGTGCCTGACTGCCTGTGAGTACATGCAGACACTATTCACATTTTCTGAGATTGGCGTGGGCGGGTACGAAAAAGGAAAAAGAAGTTGAAAAAAAAAAAAAAATGAAGAAAATCACTGATTTGATTTGCATTAATTTACCTTAAAATTGAAATAATCTGTTACATATATGCTAATTACTATATCAATGCGTTATATGCGTAGTTATTGATTGAATGCACCAATCAATAATCATAACTATTAGATTTGGTCAATTCATTAACCCGACTAAAGAACTTAATCACAGCTACAAAATTGATCGTTAGAGAATTATATCAACGTTTTCAAACAATATGTTTTAAATTGTTCATCGTTTATCACAAGAATGATGATTTCTCTCTGAGTGTGTACATATCATTTCACATGTACTTGGTAAGACATTTTAAAATAATTACAAGTTAATCATATATTTGTGGAAATAGGATAAATTGCAGTAGCGTCACCAACTTATACCTCATTTGCACTTCTATCTCCGACATTTTAATGACAGTTCACGAATACTTATATTTACATCGTAATTTTTATCATTGAATTTTTATCCTTAACCTTTATTTAGCCCCTGCTTGATGCCCATTACCTAAAAATAAAAATGGGGGGAATAATATTTTTTTAGAAAAATGAGTGGTTGAAAAAGAAGTAAAAGTTTTCGATTTACGTGTAATATTATTTTATGCAAGATTGTGTGGTTGAAAATAAGAGAGAGAAAAATGAAATGTAATGTAATTTAATTTAACGAGTATCAAACAGGGGCTTAACTAACACCTTGTCTATTACGACCATTTTTGCAATATTCCATTAGCATGCATTGAAATAACACATTTTTTGTCGATCTTCTATATTATTTTTATATATTTTGATTTTATCAAAATACGAAAAACAAATAAATTTTTTACATCCTCTTAGCAATTTTTTTAGATGGAAACCATCACGAGATTTGATATAAGAATTTGACATTTGAGGATATAAGAGCAAAAACGAGCAGAAATTAAGGATACTGATTTCAATTAATATATGATGTAACTAACAAACTTACCCCCCAAGTTCACGTGAAAAGGCAAAATCATCCTTAAACCAAAATTATATAAGAAAAGAATAATAAAAAATTCTCTCGATGCAGTGAAATTTTAAATTCACTGTTTTATACATGCAACCTGAAAACAAATAGTCCACATAAGATTATTTTCTGGGAATCGTCTTCCAGAAAAGATTATTTCTGAAAACACATTAGTCTTGCCACCTGATTTGAAACACAAGATTTACTTCCCAGATAGAAGGGCATCAATTTTGTGCTCAAGATGTGCTTCGTGATCTTCCAGACGACCCTTTATTGCACCATTTTCCCAGCGGACTAATGTTGGTACTCCTTTGAGCTTAAATATCGAGTCAATTCTCCACGGGTGCTGGGGATTCCTCCATGTAGGTCTATCTCCTACATAAGCCTTCAGCAGCGCCACATCGTCTGGTGATGATTCTAACTTCTTGTATATGACGGGCTCAGCTCTCACACAATCTGAATAAAGAAAACCAGACAGATAATCTTTTTGTCATATTGTAGGTGCACCAGTAGCAGAAAAAAGACAAAAAGGTGGGCACAGTTACAAGAATCCTGAAGGTTCGACTCAGTTTAGTAATTTAAAAGAAAGAGAGGGTACAAAGAACTAACAGATCGAGCAAAAATTATCATGAAATCGTAGAGGTCACTTGCTATCTATATATCAAGGAGAATCATTTGAGCTTCATAGACATCTGAAGTCTAAAAAGGCTTACCAAGACATTTTACCTTTACGAGGCAAGACACGAGCCTCAACCAAACCAATAAAGTACTTTCAAAAAATTATTACATACAATCTTCCATAAAATAATATTACACGCAAATCAAAAACTTTTCATTCCTTTTCAATTACACATTTAAAAAAAAAATACTATTCCAACCATTAAAATTTGGAAAGAATGGTGGCCAAACGGGGGCTAAGTTTAAAGGCATGCTTTGTAATATATATATATATATATATATTTATATATTACACATTGTAGGTCTCATCATGGGTCTTTTGCTGCTGAACATGATTAGCTTGCATGTTACTACTTTTGCAGATTAGATGTTTCAGTATTGTGCCAACAACACCACAGAGTACAAATTATGAATGACCATCCAAGTACATCAAAACTAGAACTCCTTATGGGAATCAATCAATGGAAAAGTAAGTTGGAAAGAAGATATAAAATTGATAAGTTGATTTCATTTCAATGTTCATTAGAGATAGGGTAGGGAGAGCGCTATTAGTCTTTTCCAGCCATCTTCTAAAGGAAAAGGCGACAAGCGAATTCAGAATGGATAGCCCTTTCTTTTTGCCAAATGTTTGTAGGCACACATGTTAACTGATATGTACGAGGTAACCAACGTGATGGAACAATTAAGAAGAAAGAGTAAGAGTGTATCCGACACAATACCGACACTCCTATGACACTATGACATGTTCATTTTTTTAACAGAAATATTATATATTTTAACCCAAAATTATTATTAAATAATAAATAAATACTCATATTTAAAAGAATTTTGACAAGAAAAATTAATAAAAAGTATAAAACTAAATTTATATTACATGAAGAATTTAAAGAATTTAATCAATGTATTGATGACGTGTCTTGTTAGTAATTTTTAAAAAAATCGAGTGTTAGTGTGTCCAACATGTACTTGTCAGTGCTTCATAGGGTTTAAATCATTTAAAAATACACTAAAAGGCAAAGTGCACTGTAATAATCTGTATAAGCCAAGGAGTTTTGACATCTTCAAATATAACGTTAATAAAATGGAAAACCAAAAAGTAAAAGTTTTGTAGAAGATAAATCACACATGAAATAAAAGAGAAGCAACAAGGAAAAGGATAATTAACTGTAGAACGTCATAAGAAAATGGAGTAGTCCCAATGAAATGACCAAATTTAATAACTGAAACATTTTGTTCCTGACACCTCACCTATTCAATTTCAACATCGATATTCTGGGATTTAAAAGTTAAAAGATAAAACCTTGAAACCAAAATACAAATTCATACCGTTAGGAAAATGATTTCTCATAGAGACAAATAATTCCAACAATATTAACCATGTGAAAGTGATGCGGACATCCATTTACTATTTATTTTCTTTTTGGACTATTAGTTATATTCTAGTTGGATTATTATTTATATTTCTGTTATTGGGTTTGTTTAGTGGGTTTGGCCCAAACCCTTCTCTTTAGGGTTTGTGTTCTACTATTTATTTCTGTTTTGTTTCTCATTTGAGAAAGTTGATGATGAATGAATAATTATTTTGATCGCTTGTTGCCTATGACTTCTCCTTCCTCTCCCTTCCCCCCTCCCCCATGAATTTCTACTTCTTCTCCGGTTTCTCCCCCCATTCTCTCCAGTTCTCCCCTCTTTCTTGCTTCTTCTTTCTATTTTTTAATTCGTCCTACATCAAATTTGGTATCAGAGCCGAACCATGGGTAATTTCTTTTCTTTAATCTAAAATTTATTCATATTTCCTTCCCAAAATCTGTTAGAATAGCACGAATTAAAAGAATATTTGGTACAGACAGTAGTTTTTTTCTTCTTCTTCAATTTTCAGTCTTAGTTGAAAAAAAAAAAAAATCACTGTTCACGGGTACTGTTCACACCCGGAATTTCAGTTTTTTTTTTTAGATATTTCAGCAGTTTCACAAAAAAAAAATAAAAAAAAAATCGTACTGTTCACGGGTACTGTTCACACCCGAATTTTTTTTATTTTTTATTTTTTGTTTATCGTTTTCTACAGTTTCCAAAAAAAAAAATTGAAAAAAAAAGAAAAAAAAGAAAAAGGAAAAAAACAAGTGAAAAAAAAAGAAAAAAAAAGTGAAAAAAAAGTGAAAAAAAAAAAGAAAAAAAAAAGAGAAGAAACGTCTTTTCTATTATTTACATGTACATCTTTTATTCTGGTTGATCTGACTTGACTACTTCGACGAACGAAAGGGAAGTTCTTGCTTTTATTTATTGTTGGTTTATATTACTGTTTCATTTTGAAATTGCATCAATTAAATTTTTGTGCTGCTACTGATCTATTTTTATCTAAACTCACGTAATTGGATCCATTGACCTCGTTAAATCTCACTTTAACCTGCTTATTTTACATGATTAGGTTTTGACTAGTATTTGACCATTGCTTTATTATTTTACATATATCAGCAGTACTAGTTTGTTGTATATAATTTTAGTCCCAAAATTTAAATTTAAAAAAAAAAAATTAGCTCAAATTTTCATTTTCCATTACTTGCACTTTTTGTTCATTGATCTCTCTATTGCATGTCATTAAGTTGCTATTACAGTGCATGATATAATTTTAGTCCCAAAATTTAAATTTAAAAAAAAAAATTAGCTCAAATTTTCATTTTCCATTACTTGCACTTTTTGTTCATTGACCTCTCTATTGCATGTCATTAAGTTGCTATTACAGTGCATGTAGTTACATATTGGTCATCTTGTCACTTCTAACTCTAGTACCTTAAACATGAACCCCTCACAATTCGATGCACTCACCCGACAAATAGCGGCTATTCAAACTCAAATGACCGCTACTCTTGAAGAGAGTAAAGTCCTATCTGCTAGTTTGAAAAATTTTAAACACATCCCTCATTCGATTGATGTCGATAATTCTAAGGTGTCCCATAATAGACAACATTATCGACAAGGTAATCAAAAATACTTTCGACCCGATCGTAAGGACAGGGATAGGAATAGGGATCAAATTCGTGAAGCGAAAACGAGATAATTTTGAAATTCTTACTCAATGGAATGCCCTTAAACAAGGAAATCAATTAGTGACTGAGTATATCGCG